ATTGTGCCAGTCGTAACAACTTTTTAATTTTTAGATTAAAAACAATTCACTTGAAATATTTTTGCTTGAAATTAAAGCAACAAAACCATTTATTCCTGACCGACCTAAAATTAATCCTGATATATTTAGATTTTTTTCCAACCTGACACACATGAATTAATTATCAGGTTGATAACTGATTTTTCCTTTTGAAAATTTATCTTTTTGTGACAGTATTTTGTTTTATAGTTTTATTTGTCAAACATTCTTTTATTCAATTTAGATTTATTTTAACAAAATAAACATTAAGCCATTTTTTTTCCCTACATGCAGTGAAATAACTGCAACATTAAACATAATAAAAATGTAATAAGATGTAACATTGCTGTGTGGAAATGAAAAGTTGAATCACACCAATGATATAAAAAAGGGGAAAATTGTTTTTGAAAAAGCTAAATTTACTGCTCCAAACAAGTTTGAATATTTTAAAGATTTTAAATACGATTTTAAAGTTGAATACAACCCAGAGTGTATGAAAGATGTGAAACATTTTAAAGTTTTAATGAATGTATGAACAAGGAGATCGGAGCTGAAAATGCTTTAAAAAAACTTGAATTTATGTCAGATTGAACATTCCACCCTTTCATTTGGATGGGGAAAAAGCCTAAAAAAATGCTGAATATTTCTTAAAATATAAAAGATATAAATTATAAAAGATCACAAGGAATCACGTCCCAACTGAGCTGAATGTTTACATATTTGAATGAGGTTTGAAAAACGTGGAAGGAGTTGTGTGGATGGAAAAGTGGACGAAATAATAGTAAGTAATTTTTGTGTACAAGTTGGGAATGATTTGCAGCGTTCACACACAATTCAGAACAAATCTTTAGACCCTGAAGCGCCTGAAATCAGACTGTCACATGTTACACAACGACATGAAGAAGATTAAAGTTAAAGAGCCGAACGAGCGATGAGTATTAATAAATTCAAAGAACAACAGAAAGTAGAAAAATAAAGATTTCCAGCACTGACGGTCTAAAAGCAAATGACCTGAGTTTTTTCTGCTTTTAAAGAAACGAGGTTAAAAGAAAAAGAACAATAAGAAGAGGAAGAGGAGGAGGAGGAGATAAGGAGGCCTGTTTGTTGTTTCTGTTTCCCCCTGTCACCTGTCCACAGGTGAACCATTAACCAGCTCAGCGTCATAAAACTCCACTTTATGGAAAGTTTGATGATGGTGGCGGGTTGTAAACGCTGAAGCCTTTTACGGCCTCACTGCCCGGTGCCGCTCACCTTGACACAGTCTGAAACAGAAACAAACACCATGGGTCAGATTTAACCCCGAAAAGGCTTTTATGATCGACACTGTCAGCGAGGGGTTAATTCACTCTGAAGGATTTTAACCTTGAACAACAAAATAAAGTCAAACAAATATAATTAATCATCAGCTGATCTGTCAGTTTAGGACCCTGAGGATGCCCCAGGTCCCTGAGGATGCCCCAGGACTCTGAGGACGTTCCAGGACTCTGAGGACACTCCAGGACTCTGAGGATGCCCCAGGACCCTGAGGATGGCCCAGGACTCTGAGGACCCTCCAGGACTCTGAGGATGCTCCAGGACCCTGAGGACGCCCCAGGACCCTGAGGATGCTCCAGGACCCTGAGGATGCTCCAGGACTCTGAGGATGCTCCAGGACTCTGAGGACGCCCCAGGACTTTGGGGCTGAAGTTGAATTAGAACAGTGATGTGAAAATAAGATGTGGAATATTCTAAAGCTTGTTGACACTACTCTGCAATACTGACTTAAGTGTGTAAGAAGAAGGTGAAGTCAAATCAAATCAAACCTAAAAGCAGGTTTAGGTTTGATTGGTCTGAGTGTCAGTGAAAAGTTGAACCACATAAAAGAAAAGTTGAAAATTTAAAGTTTTTGGAAAAGCTGATTTTGCTGCTCCAAACAAGTTTGAATATTTTAAAAACTTTAAATATGATTTGAAAGTTGAATAATATCCAGAATGTATGAAAGATGTGGACGTTAATGTATGAATGAGATCGCAGCTGAAATCATCACAAATTTCCTTTTTTAAATTTTTAACAGTAAAATTACTCATGTTGCAATGACTTTGGTAGGATTAAAGACAATTCACTTAAAATATTTTATTTTTAAAACCATTTTCCCCTAAGGACTCTCCAGGACTCTCCAGGACTCTCCAGGACCTTCAGGTAAATTCCTTGCAGGTGAAAATTTGTTATAAACCTGATTCTGAAAACAAAAAAAAAATTTTTTCAAACATTAATTCATTAGATTCCTCATTTAATTTATTTATTCATTTGGCACATTTTAAAATATTTTCCAGACAAACTGACCCAGAGAACAGAATCTGAGAGGTTTTAATGTCCAACTCTGATTTAACAAACTTTCTGCAGCACATTAATTAATTCATAAAATGATATAAATATGTTTAATTTAACGTGTGTTTGAATGACGTCAGGCTCGTGTTTGAACACAGTGAGAGCTCCACCCTCTGATTCTGTCACAGCTCACCTGGATGTTCTCACCTGGATGTTATCAGCTGCTGCCACCATGTGGTCAATTCTGGGACTGCAGTTGGTCAATTGGTTAATTTTAATTTTTTTATTCAAGTATCATCACCTTACAAACATTTAAGGCACAGTTAGTGATATTACAATGGAAGATGTTGAATCAGATTCTATAAAGAAAAATCCGTACAATAAAACAAAACAAAAATAAATAAACAACAATGTGCGCGTCTCATTCTAGAAGAGTAAATAAGTCCATTAAAGAAAATAGTTTTTGGGCCTTTTTGTTTGTCATGTAGTACATGGATTTCTTATATAGCTTGAGTTCATTCTTCCATCCGTTGATGTGCGGTTTCACCTTGAGCTATTTGCATTTATGAATAAAATGTTTCCAAGTGAGATTAGATTGTTCACCAAGAAGTTCTTCTCCTCTAACTGTACTCCAGCTTTAATAGACATCCAGTTCAAACGGTGCATGGTTATGTGTTAACAACCAGTTTTGGAAAGAAGACCAAAATTCCCTAACATGATCACATTCACAGGAAATATGCTCCACTGTTTCAATGTCACTCTCACAAAATCCACATGAGTTGTTGTCCCAGTTAAATCTTACATGTAGGAAGTTGTTAATATTTTAAATGTCACCTCTTTAGCTTTGTGAGGGATTGGATAAGATTAATATCTCTTCCTTATCTTTCTTGCCTCCACGTCATTGTAATCACGCAGAATATATTTTCTTTTTAGCTGGTAAGGATAGTACTGTGTATTTAAAACATTTCTAATAAATTTATTAGAGAATTGTTTACTACCTAAACTGACTCCTTCTACACAGAGTGATCTCATTTACGAAACATTTGAATGCACCACTAGTTGTTGAGTCATTGTTTTCCAGGGAACTGGAATGGATTTAATCACTTTATTGTACTCTTTTGTTGAGCATTGAAAATTATATTTAACGCAGAAATTCCCATGATTTAAAAAGTTACCATGTTCATCCAGATACAGCCCAAATTCTGTTATCCAACAAAGTTCCCAAAAACAATAACGTTCGATTGGACAGAGCATATCTGTTATTCCACAAGGGTGAACTGTGAGGAGTAAAACTGTGCTTATATATCAGGTTCCAGTAAAGGAGAACTTGCTGGTGGTAATCTGATCATTTCACAGGCAGTTTACATATATCATAGTCACAGCGCAACAGAAAATCAGTGCCTTCAACTTTTTGAAAAATTGCATTGGGAATGCTAAACCAGAAGGAGTTTTTGTGCAGAATAAATGAATTGAGCCATTTTAATTTGAGAACATCATTCATAACCGAGAAATCTATAGCTTTTAATCACCCTCTTCAATATTCTTGACCATCTTGATCATATTCAGATGAAGCGCTAAGAAAGTTTACTGATATTTTCATGCCTTTGGTTGACAAACATGCTCCCATGAAAAAGTTTACTGTCAGAAGCGTAGGTACACCTTGGCTGGATAGGGAATTAAAAGAATATATGGTGGAACGCGATCAAGCAAAATTAACAGCTAATAGATCTGGCTATAAATCAGACAGGCAAATATACTGCAAATTAAGGATTTTTGTAACCAAGTTAAATAAAAAGAAGAAGAAATTATATTATGAAGGAAGAATTAATGAGATTAAAAATGATAGTAAAAAACTTTGGAATACATTGAATAATTTGATGGGTAACATCAGCTCTTCTAATATACTGACATTTGTTTTTTCCAAATAAATTTAAAATTTATACTGTTGATAAGTTTAGTCATTTTATCTGAAATTTCTAGTGAGAAAGCAGGCTAAATAGGTCTAGACAGACTTTCCATTTTTGATAACAGGACCCTTTCAAATACAGTAATGTCCCTCTGCAGCCAAGAGTTCAGAATCATTTTACACTTATCCACATTTTTACAAAAAATTTCTCTCTCCCTTATTTCTTTATTCTTGGTGATAACAATACCCAAATATCTGACTTTTGTTTTCATGCAGAGCAAATATTTATCAGTATCTATCAGTATTTAGTTTCAAGCCCGCTGCTTTGGAAAATTGGTTGATGGAATCTAATACTTTAGGAATTTGCCTTTCATTTTTTAAAAATAATGTTGTATCATCCGCAAATTGACTAGTTATAATATTTCTTTCCAAAATGTTTATGCCCTCGGTACCATTATTTTTTATCATAATCGATAATAGCTCAGCTACCAGAATAAATAGTAAGGGAGAGCTGTTGCAACCTTGTCTAATACCGCTGCTGCTTCATTGATTAAATATCGATACCTGATCAGAAAATAAAAAACTTCCTCCTTGTTCAGACTAGCACATGCGCAGTTTTCATGATGACGGAACCCAGTTTTTAAATTGTGGGCGGGGCATCAGAGTCTGGCTCCTCCCATCAGATCCTAATGCCTGCTCTCTTTTACGTCCGCAGATACGATTTATACTCTGAGTGCCTTCCGAGCGGAGGCACTGTGGAATCATCGAAGTATCAACCATGAGTGGTAGAGGCAAAGGAGGCAAAGGACTCGGTAAAGGAGGCGCCAAGCGTCACCGTAAAGTTCTCCGTGATAACATCCAGGGAATCACCAAACCCGCCATCCGCCGTCTGGCTCGCCGCGGCGGAGTGAAGCGTATCTCCGGTCTCATCTACGAGGAGACCCGCGGTGTGCTCAAGGTCTTCCTGGAGAACGTCATCCGTGACGCCGTCACCTACACCGAGCACGCCAAGAGGAAGACGGTGACCGCCATGGATGTGGTGTACGCTCTCAAGAGGCAGGGCCGCACCCTGTACGGCTTCGGAGGTTAAACCGTCACTGACCCGCTGATACTCAACAACACAAAGGCTCTTTTAAGAGCCGCACACTCTCACCTCAAGAGACACGTCCTAACACGTGCTTAATAATCACTGTTAACGAGTTCTGTGTGAAAAAACAAGTCGGGTGAATTACAGCTGTATCAAAAGTGATAAAATGGCTGCGTAGCTAAATGAATAAGATGTCGGCGTGTTGAGTGTTTGTTGTTGTTATTTAAATGGAGATAACATGTTTTTATAAAAGATGGCCTTCATTTCTGTTAGCAAGCAAGGATGTGACCTGAAAAGAGCATAATATACAATAATGTAGCACAAAAATGTAGTTATAATAATGAATTACTTTTTTTTTTAAAATAATTTTCTGAAGTTATTTAGTTTAAAATGCTATTGTTTATTGTAAAAAGTTAAAGTAAAGCGAGTCAGAGTAAATGCTCTTTAAAGAGCCACACACACGTCATGTGAGGTCACAGTGAATTATTCAGGTTATTAGTCACATTAAAGGTGAAACAAATTCTGAAATGTTTTATCTTGGTCTCATTTTTTTTCAACACAAAAACCTGGCATTTTAACAGGGGTGTGTCAGCGTTTTATATCTACTTTGACACACTGAGACTGAGAGCACAGTGACAAAGCTTTGATTCTTAGTAGCTTGGTGTTAAACATTGCAGCACGATGCACATTTTTTTTATTTCTATTTGATGTTTTTACTTTACATTGACATACTTCTGTTTCATACTCTTGTTGTCACTTGTACACACACATGTGTCTCTGAGCTCCTTACTTTCATTTTCACTGAATTCATATAATAAAGTTCTGAACATGTTTTTTGGAGGAATATTCATGTAAATGTTTCTGTGACATGACTTATTCTGGAGTGGGAGGATTAAAAAACAGGAATGTCTTTGTTCATTTAAATTATATTAAATTTAACAATCTGAAGTGTAAATTGGATTTACCTCGTTTCAAAAACATGAGTAATATTTATATTGTCATCAAAGCCCATCACTGGTGGTTAGTTGGTAAGACGAGGATGAAATGGATGTATATATCATGTATGAATATCTTTATTTTGATTTTAAATGAATCTACATAAAAACAATTCACTACATTTTGTATTAATTCATGTGTATGTTTGTATAATAACTTTAGAGTGGGTTATGAGCAACAATGTCTTTGATACTAATGATTATAGAAAACTTTTCAAACTTTAGTGTAAATTGTTATTTTATTAAGAACTTTTCCTCGTTTTAAAACATAATTAATATTAATATGACAGTGTTTGAGGGACTTATTAGTGTCACAGTGTGTTTACACATTCACTCACTTCTCATTCAGGACCGTTGGAAAGGCTCGTGTGGCGCATGCGTTGTTGCGTCTAGAGCGTGTCAGCCAATCTTGTACGAGCAACAGCACAGTCAAATTTGCATGAAGCGCATACAAGTTGTACCTGCTGTATGCACAGCCGCATTACCCGTCGAACGACACTCTTCAGACTCAACCATGCCTGACGCAACAACCAAAACTCCAGCGGGCCGGAAGGGCTCAAAGAAAGCCGCGGCTAAAACCACCAAGACCGGCAACAAGAAGAGGAAGTCCAAGAAGAGGAGGGAGAGCTACGCCATCTACGTGTACAAGGTGCTGAAGCAGGTCCACCCCGACACCGGCATCTCCTCCAAGGCCATGGGCATCATGAACTCCTTCGTCAGCGACATCTTTGAGCGCATCGCCGGTGAGGCCTCCCGTCTGGCTCACTACAACAAGCGCTCCACCATCACTTCCAGGGAGATCCAGACCGCCGTCCGCCTGCTGCTGCCCGGGGAGCTGGCCAAGCACGCCGTGTCTGAGGGCACCAAGGCCGTCACCAAGTACACCAGCTCCAAGTAAACACCTGCTCTCACTCAGTGACACAGCTGCAACACAAAGGCTCTTTTAAGAGCCACACACTCACACTCTGCAGAGCTCGTCCTCTTCTGTCTCATCTCTTAGTCATAGATTGTTACAATAATGCAAAGTTCATCATACAAATATTCACATCTGGTAATATAGTTCTGTGTCAAATGTGTTTAATTTCAGCACAGTGCCAATATGATTAAGACAGTTCTGTATCTCAATAGTCAGCTGAATGTGCTCTTTACCTCCTGAATATATACACTGAATAAAAACTGGGAAAACATAAATACACAGCAGCCCAGGAACCAGACACATCTGTACCTACATGAATTGAACATGACAGCCTCAGTGCACACAGCACTGAGCATATTACTCAGGAGTGACAATTTGAAATACTTTCTGGGGCCGCTCTCTCTCTGTGGGCCCCTCCACCCCAGCTGGTGCAACTGCACCATCTGCACTGTATATTTACACCACTGTTTTACAGGAAGGCTTCAGAACACTGAGCTCCACAGATACACGTCATATCCACAGATGCCTTCCCTAACATGACGTCATGGTCTCAGTTACTTTATAACACCGGTCCTACAGGTCACCTGAGTTAACTACAGTGGTTCACAGCATGCACACACTTGCAATGAGATCCCAATAAAAATACAAGTTAAAAATCATAAATACAAATGCCCCCCCACTGTTCCTCCATGATGCTGATTTCAGGTCACACTAATAAGATAATGAGGCAGAATATGAAGTTTGTCCAGAAGACTGTATTTTATTCTTTCTATGTGACGTCTGTTTGTCAGGTCACTGAGCCACGTCTCTTCTTTCTTGTTTCAGTGCTCTGTAAACTATGTTAGGTTAGGGGAACGTTCAGCAGCAAATGTTTCCTTGTTCTTAAACTCCTCCTCCCCGCTGTTAACAGTGTTTCACCTCAGGAGCTCTGTTAAGGTCTGAGATACTCTGTGAACAGCATCTCGACAGCGGAGCAAGCAGCCTGGCTGCTGGACTTCACAGCTTCATCCTGCGGGACTCCTCTCAGTCCAGACTGGAGAAAGTTCTATTTTGTATAGGCTTCGCCCTCTAAGGCTATAGGTAGTGGGTTTATCCCTCGTGCACACATGCAGCATTGAGAAAATTGAGTTCACGCCCACCTGCGGGATGGGCCCCACCCACCGTCTCACAATGGCTATAAATTGCATCGAGACCCTTTACAATCAGCTCCTGACAGGCTTCAAAAACATGCTGATGCTCTGGGAGTTTGGGGGTCCACCAGGCAGGATTCAGGAAAGAGAAAAGCACAACTGACAACATCCTGAGGCTGGCAGAAGATGGCAGAAGGGGTTTTAACAGAAAAATGATAACAATTAGAGTCTTTTTTTTTAACATTGAATAAGCGTTTAATAAGATGTGGCATGAAGGACTCATATACAGGCTGCTGGACCACAACCTTAAACTCCCACAGCAGATGGTGGTGCTTTTAAACAGTTTTTTAAAGGACAGAGACATTGGAGTAAGAGTGGGAGCCTCATTCTCCAACAGATTTAGCCCAGAAGCTGGTGTTCCACAGGGCTCAGCCCTCAGCCCCCTACTGTTTTTATTTTATTTATATACTTTATTAATCCCCCTGAAGGGAAATTCAATGTTTTCACTCTTTTGTCATTTACACACAGGTCTGAAAGACACACACATGCACAAACAGGACCTATACATGCACAAAGTGGAGAGATGTCAGAGTGAGGGGGCTGCCTTGGTCAGGCGCCCCGAGGGGTTGGGGGGTCCAGTGCCTTGCTCAAGGGCACCTCGGCAGTGCCCAGGAGGTGAACTGGCACCTCTCCAGCCACCGGTCCACGCTCCATATTTGGTCCTAATGGGGACTTGAACAGCAATAAGCATATTGTCCTGCCTTCATCCCACATACTGTGCCTACTATGTCCCTCGCTGAACTGTTACAGTTCGTAATCTTCATCTCAGCTCCTCACAGCAGTAGGTTTATTTATTCCTACCTGTCATTTCCCCCAAACTGAAACTTTTTGGGCTTTTGGGGCTATGCGATGCGTTTTTACGCATGTTGAATGGCGGGGCAGGGAGTGTTTTTGCTCGCTTTCTTGAAGTAGGTGTGCTTGTGGTACCGGACGGACCCAGTGTGGCATGGACTATATCCTGCTTCACCCATAACCCACTAGCGATAGCCTTAGAGGGCAAAGCCTATACGAAATAGAACAACAGTTAGGCCTACGTACTGTAACTTCAGATTCTATGAGTATAGGTGCAGCCCTCTAAGTTATGGGCCCCACTGGCTCCGTGAGTAGCTGAAGAAAAAGCTGTTCTGGGAGCTGTGGGTGGGGCCATCCTGCAGGTGGGCGCAGACTAAATTTTCTCAGTGCTGAGCGTGTGCGCGAGGGATAAACCCACTAGTAGCCTTAGAGGGCTGCGCCTACATTCATAGAATCTGGAGTTACAGTACATAACTATCATTTTGTACAGTCACAGGGGGTAAAGACAATCTCATCTGTGTCATGGTTTAATTTTTATTTTTTAAAGTATTTATGGTTAATAAAGTTTTTTTCTTATTTGCGCACATTATTCATGTTTTTGATTAAAATCCTTTCGCTAAAATGCCAGCAGAATGCTTATTGTATTATGTGTCTCGGGGCCCCCCTTCAGTCCCCACTACATTGGACTAGTCCATCTTAATGCGCATGTGCTGAAAGGATTCAGGAAGACAGCAGCAAAACAAACGGCTTGGCACGAAGAAGAGAAGAGGAGAAAAGAAGAAGACAACGACAAAGGTGAGAGAAATGAAAAGAAGTTACCCCAGCGGAGCTGAGAAAAGGAGAAAGAAGGAGGAGAGTAGAAAATTTGTCACAAAATTGACAAGTCACTAGTTTTTCCACCGTCACCACCAGCAACAATCAACCGGCCGCAACAAAGTCAACATCTGTTCAGGAGGGTCCGTCGTGTGGAGACCGAGATGAACAACCAGTGAGTAACGTTATCAAAACTGTCCAAGAGGTAAAATTTTTCTATATTGATAAGTATTCCTTTACGTTATGAATTAAAAATATTACAAAGTATGTAAGTAAATTACATACTTTGTAAAGTGTCATAGCTTTGTATTAATATCACTTTAATGTGTGTTATAATTTACTGCTGTAGATGTTTAAGGCTGAGCTAATTTTTAAATGAATTTATATACTGTTGGGCAGTTTAAGCAGTTGTCATATATTTAGCATCACTAGTCGTTGAAAAACAGCCTGTTTTCAGCTTTGTCATGATGCATTTTCCTGCTGGTCCAAAGGGTTTTTTAAGAGTTTTGGCTTAAATCACCCCACAAAGGAAGACCCTGTCAGTTTATCACAAATATTAGCATTAAATAATCATCATTTGGGAGTGCATGGTTTTCACTCGGCAGGAAGGGTTTGAAAATAAATGTAACCTGCAACGTAAAGAATGCATAAAGCTGTCAGACAAATGTAGTGGAGTAGAAAGTGCAGTATTTGAGATACAGTGGAGTAGACGTATGAAGTTGCATGAAATCCTCAAAATTCTACTTTAGTACAGTACATGAGTAAATGTACTTAGTCACATTACACCACTGGGTACAAGCCTTACACTGTGTTTTGTGTGTGTTTGTTTTCAGAATGAGACAGGGGTGGGCTGTGAGAGCATCCTGCCAGGCTTTGAGGATGATGTTGTTCCACCAGATTGTGAGAATCCAGCATCATCCACTCAGCTCGTTAGTCCACTTGAAGATGATCCAGCACTCTGGCCACAACAGCTGTCAGATAGGTGCAGAGAGGACCACTTCAGGTGAAGGACAGGATTTTCCCAAGAAATGAAGAGGGGTGCAGATTTACTAGCAGCAATTACTACATGCAAATGAAAAATGGAGAAAAGATAAGCAGATCGTGGCTTGTCTACAGTGAAAAGAAGGACTGTGTTATTTGCTTTTGCTGCTGCCTGTTTGGCGACAGAGAAAGGAGCAATCAGCTGAGTGATGATGGGTTTAATGATTGGAAAAATCTTTCAGCCCACCTGAGACAACATGAAAAGTCAGCTGAGCACATTGCAAATATGGATACTTGGCGCAACCTATCACAGAAACTCCAGACAAACACATCTATAGATCAGACAAACCAAAATCTACTTTCTCTTGAAGTAAATCGCTGGAAAGAGGTTCTGACAAGATTAACTGCAATTGTTAACCATCTGGCAGAGCACAATCTAGCATTTCATGGTCAGTCTGACAGGCTGTTTGAGCCTGGAAATGGAAATTTCCTTGGGCAAGTTGAACTCATGGCTCAAAAGGTATTCATGAGCACTTTGTTGGTTTTCTTCAGGCACTTGACACAACAGGAGAAGGCTTATGTGACTCATTTTTAGGGCACCTAGAAACACTGGGTTTGGACCTCTCCAACTGCAGACACACCAAACCGACATCAAAGAACTACATCGCCATGTGTCAGTTGCATTTGAACACACTACACAGACTACATCCGACGGCCGACGTATGTTCTGTTTCAGTGCTGAAAATGATCTAAACTTTATGTAATGTATGAATGTACTATGAATGTATTAAAGAAACATGAGATGTCCTACATGTGACAGTCGTCCTCAACTGACCTCCTGACAAACATTTTAAGCTAGCTACCACATGGTGTTAGCTTGCTCGCTAAAAGCTGTTTCAAATCAAAGCTGTTTCCTTCAACTTAAATGACAGATAACCTAAAAACCTTTAAGATAAAAACACCAACATGAAAAATTACTTTGAACCATGAAAATGAGAAAATATCTCCTCACCTCAGTGTTTTGTGCGCTGGACAAAATGACCGATGCAAAATGAAGAGAAACATCCTCCTGCAGAGCCGCCATTTAAGACGTGCACATGTGCGTGCTGTAGAGGGCGGGGTATCTGTCAACCCTTTTTTAATGTGGCCAATCAGAAACACACAATCCCCTGTCAATCAAACACTTAACAGTTTTTAATTCAGCCAATCACCTCACAGGGGGAGGAGTCAACATTTCAACAAGCTAGCTATGTTAGCGCTAGAATGTGTCCTTTATTTAAATTACAACACAATGAACCATAGCTGCTTGTTTATGGCTGCCAACATTAGCTAGCACAGCTAGCACACTAGCCACGTTAGCTGAAAAGATGACTTCAAAATGATAATCTAATCTAAATCTCACATACACAGGTCCAAAATGGTGGTAACTCTGCAGGGAGATGTTTCTCTTCTAGTGTGGCTGCAATAAGCGCAGTGACAAACAACCCTGGTCTGACTGTGCTGTATACTACATGAATTAACAGTGATGACACCGGTATATTATCACCACAATAGTAAAAACACAATGCAAGGATTAAAATCTTTTATTTCACTATCCCTTGAAGAGCGAATTAAATTGATATAGGTTATAAGTTATACTTTCTTTTAAACACAGTTAACTATATTAACAGACGTGAATATTTGTATGATGAACTTTTACATTATTGTAACAATCTATGACTAAGAGATGAGACAGAAGAGGACAAGCTCTGCAGAGTGTGAGTGTGTGGCTCTTAAAAGAGCCTTTGTGTTGTAGCTGTGTCGCTGAGTGAGAGCAGAGGTGTTTACTTGGAGCTGGTGTACTTGGTGACGGCCTTGGTGCCCTCAGACACGGCGTGCTTGGCCAGCTCCCCGGGCAGCAGCAGGCGGACGGCGGTCTGGATCTCCCTGGAAGTGATGGTGGAGCGCTTGTTGTAGTGAGCCAGACGGGAGGCCTCACCGGCGATGCGCTCAAAGATGTCGCT